TCGTACTAGTCGTAGAATTAAATGAATATCGACTGCTACAATCAGCCGACGTCTTCTCGGTCAGAGGTCAGTTGAAGAGACGCTGTGATTGGCTCAGATGATTGTCAATTAGAACACTCATTAACATAATTACCTGTTGAAAAATCGACGGGTTCCTGCAGTGTCGATAGAGGGCCATGCAGAGTAAACCAGTCGGGGTGAATTCACAGTTACAAGGGATTTTGCGCTAACACCTCCATTTCGCAATTTATTTAATTTTATTTAAACTACAAAAACAAATTAATCGCCCCGACTGCGCCAGTCTAAAGTTATGTAATTTCAGTACTTTCAGATACGTGTATAATAACAATTGTACTAGATCTACACGCATAGCACGAAAAAAAAAAAAGGTAGCTAAGGTGACTTGGGGGTCGAACTTCATTCAACTCACACTTGATGTCAGCATCGCCATGCAGCAAGTTTCGCAAAGACGTACTTGAAGTTCAATTGCGTCCCAAAATGATGTCGCTGATCACTCAGTTGTCGCAGCGTGTGTTGTGTCATGTCCATGATGCACCCCGTTTCGACTTTGGCTTGCTTTTCCTTCTTTATTAATAGTGCATGTTCTTGTTCATGTAAAATGCGACCTCTCACCAATGTATTGAAACACTTTGAATTCTTTGCATGATTATATGGTCAACGCGAAACATTATTTTTTCTAAACATTTTCTGAGATCATTTTTATCAACGCAGGGTTATTAGTCCCCGTTCGCACGTAGTCCGAAAACGGGGACTTATGTTTTGCCCTGTGTGCGTCCGTGCGTGCGTCCGTGATCACCTGTATCTCGAACATGCATGGACCGATAAAGTTCAAACTTCACTCATACATCACACATTATATGGGACATATGCACATGCATTTTTTTCATGATCTGATTAACGATAGCCGAATAGCGGCCATTTTAAGGCCGAAAATGCATCAAAATCACACATTTTCACCATTCCGGACCCGGATCTCAGTTATGCATGGACGGATTTTGTTCAAATTTGGTACATACATTAAACATAATAGGACCTTGATGCACGTCATTTTTTGGGGGGGATCGGGTTTGA